AATAAGTAATTTTTTCGGTTGTGAAAATCATTGCGCCATGACGGGACGACCACTATCCATGGGTTATTACTGAAGCGGTTTTCTAGCCATATATACATATATATTTATTTATTTATTTTAATGTCTTTGCTTGTTTATCTTGCTTTCCCTTTTGTTTTACGGGAGTCTATAAAATGGAAATTCAACTTCTGGTAGCTGACTTAAACTTGTATAGTCTAGACTGGCCTGGAGCTCATCATCGTCCTGTCCCATCCTCCTAGCTGTTAGGATTGTAAATCAGTGCCACCATACCACATGCTTGGGGGGAACGTTCTTCTTAAGAAGCATACTGCAGCATTAGTAAAGCAAGTCACTGGAGCTGGAACAGTCGAAAAAGGGAAATTGTTAACGCCTGTGTGTTAAGGTTCAGATAGCCCTGTCCCCTCACCAATAGGACCCCAAGGACTTCTCATGCTCCTGAGAAAAGGGAACCTAGCTGATAAGCACCTTGGTCTTTGAAGTCAAGAGAAGGGGACTTTTCTCCACTGTTTGGCCAACACAGCAGGCTTCCCCTTTGATCTCTAAAGAGGTCGGGTTTTAACAGTCCCGCTCTCCAACCGCCCCACCCAACTTAAAAAAAAATACATCTTCCCGCCTTCTGCAGGAAACAGAACCCTCCCTTTTTAAAAGACCCCAGCTCAAGGCCCGGGGAAAGGAATCTGTCCCATGTGTTCCTTTGCTAATAAACCCTTTTTTGATGGAGTTTTATCTGTGTCCTGGTGCCTCCTCCTCCATTCGCTCATTCTCTGCCAACTTTTTACCTATTACTGTGAATATAACACACAGTCGTCTATTCAAATACTCGTGTACATGATGAAAGACAGAATGTTCCAACCTAGATGAATAGTGAGAAAAGGTTTCAGTTTGCTGAGCCATGAGTAATGAATGGGAAGTATGAGACGGCATCCAATTTCAAGGAGTTCGTATTAGGTGATGCAAGAAAAAAGAGTTCCAGCTTTGATGGTGGTGAGTCACATAACATTTTGGTTCTCTGACAGGGAAACCTTGCTGTCTTCGGATAAGTTGGCCCTTTGAGGCACCACTTCTGCCGACTGGGTTCTGGCTACCCAAGTATAGCTAGATGGCATCACCTGGCTGGCGTGTTGCTCAGGATCCACACTCGGGACCCACATCATTACATGTAGATGTGATGGTAGACCTAGCCAGTCATCCAGGACTTTAGGAACCAGTAAGACTCCCTGGGCAGGCAGTTAAATAGGTCTGGTAACTGGATGGAAGGGGAGCCTGACAACTGGCAATTTCTGTAATCACCTCAGGACTTCATGGGGAGAGTCCTGTCTGGAGTCGTATGCAAAATAAAGTGTAACTGGTGTAAATGTGTGTGTGGTTCCACAATCCCTGAGGCTATAGAGTCTGACTGGGTCCCACTTTGTGGTTCCATAACAAACTCATACACCTAAACCATGGCAGATGCTCTTACGGAACTAGTTCCCTTCTATGGACTCCAGTCTACTTCAGAGCCTGCATCTGCACTCACCATGGTTAGGGCCCAATGGCTGCAGGACCCACCCCACCCTGCAGTCCTAAAGCCTGCTCTGAACCACCTATTGTAATTGACCTGGACCCAGTTGCTCCAAGGGTTCAGAAACTCCCACAATATTTGGGGAAGTCCTGGCAGATGATCTGACACATTTCCCTAGTGTAGAGGTAAAATGAACACTCCTGCAATAAGTGATGCTTTTGGCAAGGTCACCCTTGAAGTGCTGCCAGGGGGAAACAGAAATGCTGCTAGATCTGCTCCAGAGGGCTGGATACAGTGTATCTCTCAAGGCCCACATTTGCCAAAAAGTTAAATACTTGGGGTTCTAGGTCTGAAAAGGATATCGGGCTTTGGGGCTTGGATGAAAAATGGCAGTATGGGCCCTCCCAATCCTGAAAACCCGGAGACAGACCCAGGAGTTTCTGGGGCAACCAGCTTTTGTCACATCTGTATATCTAATTACTCATTGATAGTCAGACCCCTCTATTAAGCCATAAAGGGGGGAGAAAAAGAACCATTTGAGTGAGGATGACAGCAACAAGACGCCTTCCTGACTTTTAAGAGGGCCCTGCTGGAAGCACTGGCCTTGGAACTCCCTGATGTGACCCTAGAATTTAACCTTTGTCTATGAGAAGAAGGAATGGTACTGGGACTGTTAACCCAGAATGTGGGGCCCTGGCAATGACCTGTAGTCTCCTGTCCAGACAGCTAGACATGGTGGTAGCTGGATGGCCACCCTGCTTATGAGCCCTGGTGGCCCTTGACTGTGGAGCAATCCCTAAATCTGAGGTCCCATGTGCAGTCATGGCTGTGATGGACCACCAGTGGTACCACTGGCTCACCAACCCACATATGAGCCGACACCAGAATCTCCTATGTAGAAACCCCTAAGTACACCACCTGTCCAGGGTTTTGGCAGATGACAGAAGGATTGGCCAAATCACTATTGGCCATGCAGTATCAATTAGATTCCTTAGCTGTGGTGCTCCTACAAAATCCAAGGGGACTAGATATGCTGACTGCTAAAAGGTGGGACTCTGTCTCTTCTTAAATAAAGAATGTTGTTTTTACATAAACAAGTTGGAGATCATCAGAGATATGGCCCAAGAACCACAACAAGGATTTGCAAAGTGGAGACAAGACCTGGCTGATTCTTGGAACCCTGGGAACAATATCTGGAGTTAGGTATCCTGGCTTCTGGTAGCTGACTCACTCCTTATGTGCCTTATAGCATGTCTGTTTGGTCCCTGCATCCTTAACTTGCTGACCCTGTTTGTCTCCTTTCACCTAGAGTCCATAAAGTTACAGATTCTCCTCCAGAACTATCAGTGGCTTGACATGAGGGACAGATAAGAAAGTAATGCCCCCCTCAGAGAATCAAAGGCCTTCAAAGGGGGCTGAGATGGAAAACTAGAATTCCCTGAGAAGTAGAGGAGCACAGCCTTGAAAAGAGTACTGCCCACGAAGGGCTGTTCCAGCCTTGTCACTTCTGCCTTTGGGAATATACTTACATCTAGAAACTCTCACACATAGTCCCTGGTCATTTAGGCTTGTGACCCCAGTGTATTATCCTTGGTCACTTATGTAGGTTAGAGGTCCCTGTGCATGGCCTGTGGTCATATCAGCAAAGAAGTTTAACCACCAGTGGTAGGACAGGCCTAAAATGATGTTCAATAGCCTATAAATGTTGTAAAAACACAAAAGGGGGCTCAGGCTTTGGAGATTATTCCCCTGAGTCCATGCTGGCACAAATAAAAACTTCTGAGTCTTCACTCAGTGTCCAGTGCCTGTTCTGAACATGTCAATTCACATATCAATACTATATACATGTTTATATAGGTATGCAGAAATAGACTGGTATATATAGGTGGGTCCCCAATATCTGCTTTATGGGTTTTGTGGATAGAGTGCATCTAGTGCCAGTGTTCCAATTGATCACCCAAGTTTTGTTCAATTCTTTGAGACAATCTACGTAGTCCAGGCTGGCCTAAACACACCACCCTAATGTATCGGCTCCCTACTGCTGGGATTATAGGTGTGTGCCTGCCACCATGTCAATTTTTGTATAGTTCTTATAAAAAGAAAATATGAAAAAACCTTGCCTTTAAAATAGGAATTGTATATTTCCAGCCAAAGATGGCATCATGAGAGCAGTCACTTAGTGAAGCAAAGCTCAGTTATGCAGAAATCAGTGGAGCAGGGCTCAGTCTATACACATGACAGATGCTGCTGGGCCATCTTTGAGCAATGCTGTACAACAGAACCTGTGTCCCAAAGGGCAAGGGACTGAAGAGGAAGGCAGACCCCAGATTATATTCCAGACCAAGTGGATAAAGGAACAGCTTGTAAATTTCAGAAAGCATTGGAAAATGGTAAGGGGTTTTATTTTGCTGGTTAAGAAAGGGGATAATTCTTGGGGAGAGTTACCCCATAAAACTTGTGTCTTGGCTCTGAGGGTAGGGAGCAGTGACCAAACATGAAAAATGGTGGGGTTAACCACAGAAGCCAAGGGAGGGTGTGGAAGTCACCTTTGCCACTTCAATGGTAACCCACCTGTACCCACCTGTTTCAGCCTCCAGAACTTTGCACAAAAAAACCTGCCCACTATGTGGCACGTGTCACAGTGCCCCAG